CCCCACGCCGGCCCCTCGCCTCTGGCCCGCGTGTGTCTATAGTCGGTTCCGAGGTGTTGCCGGCACCCCCAAATGGCAGGGGTCCCCCGGCCCGCATGTGTCGCCCGCCCGTTCGCTGGTCGGGGGCCCGCGTCTTTTTGCTGCTGCCCCCCCCCCCCCCGCCTCCCCACTGGTGATCGGGTCTCCCCACCCGGGATGGACAGAAGATGGGCCCCCAGGAAAAAAACAACAACGACCCAACTCCTGACGCATGGTTCAGGTCCGTGGCCCGTCTGGCTCTCCGACACTTTATTTCCATTTCCCCCCGTGGCCCGCGTCTGTTAACGGGGGGGGGGGGGGGGGGGGGCGAGAGACATTCGATGCCTTTGGCAGATGCTGGACGACCACATGCGTCCATTAGTTAGCTGCCAGGGCTGCCCCAACGCTGGACCCATCCTTCGCGTGCTGGAGCGAGAAGCGCCCGCCGACGCGCGGTCCGAACAGATCCGTCAGAGCTGGCACACGAGGATTCGGCGTGGACACAGGAGGGGGGGGGGACAGCGGAGAATGTGCCAGGTGGCAAGGTGAGAAGGATGGCAGCATGTGTAGAGGGTGTGGGCAGGAGGGGGGGGGGGAGACGCGGGCCGGCAGCAGACCAGGGGCAGACAGGCAGGAAGGCAGACGGAGAGGAGGAGAGAAAGACAAGAGAGGGGAGAAAAGTGCCCAAGGCGAACGAACCCCGATGCATGCGCCCAGGGAAGTGCGGATAGAACTCGAAAACCGATCCGTCGATGCCGAACAGCAGGCGCTCAGCCGCCGGAACCTCAACTGCGGCATCGCCCGGCGGGCCCGCGTCGCACAGGCCAAATGCCACCTCCTCCGGGGGCTGGCCCTGGCCACCGGGGCCGGCTGCGATCTCCGTCTCAGTGGGCGAGGTGCCAAGGAGCATCTCCGGATCGAGCGGCTGGCCTGCCACCTTCAGGGCGCCCAGCTCGGCCACTGTCAGGGGCGCGAGAAGCCGGCTGGTCTCCGACCGGGCCAACGACACGACACGGGCCAATGGCTCCGAGCCAAGGAGGCCCGTCTGCAAGCCGATAGCCGCGATCCCGGCTGCCGCTAGGCGAGCAGCGCGGGCTGACACATACGATGCGGTCATGCCGAGGACCTAGTGTGTGTGTGTGTGTGTGTGTGTGTGTGTGCGCGTGTGTGTGTGTGTGTGTGTGTGCGCGTGTGTGTGGCCGTCCAGATGGCCCGACACGAGATGGAGCACGATCCTGTTGTCAGCATCCGATTGAGGAAGGCAAACGGCCCCCCCCCCCCCCCCCCCCCACAGGCAGCAGCCGGCTCCCAGGCGCGGAGCTGGGCAGAGGGGGCTCCACAGCAAGGGACTAGGCGCGCGCGTGGGTGTCCCGGCCCGCCGCCGCCGCCGCCGCCGCCCCCCTGGGCTGTCCGGTTTTAGTGCGCCAGCGCGATCACCCCCCCCCCCCCCCCCCCCCGGGGAGGATGGTGGCAAAGGTACATACCAGCAGCTCGACCAGATAGTCATCCAGGGGATTTTCAGGAGACGACGGCAAACGGACACCGAGCAGGGCGGCCAGCTCGGTCAGGAGGTCCCGAGCAGCAGGCTCCAGCGTCTTCCGGGACACCTTATCATCCCCACGCAGGGCCATTGCCAATCGCAAGAAGAGCTCTTCACAACGGGCCAACGTCTCGCCAGACCACCGGCCAGCCGCATCCAAGAACGCCTGAACATCGTCCGATGTCGGCAAGTCGCGCGTGAGCTGGCCAAAGAGCACTCGCGGGTGAGAGGTGCCGGGCACGCCGCGCGCCGCAAGGTGCCGAAGAGTCAGCAGGGCCAACTCGCCGAGATACAACCCGGCGATGCACTTCTCAAAGCGCTGCCGGCCCGGGTGCACAGATCCCATGTCTAGCAGGTCGTCATACGGCGTGAAGGGCAGGGCCATTGGCGTGCTTGGCGGCTCATCCGGGACATCGGCGTCTGGCTCAGTGGCTGGTTGGCGGAAGGAGAGCAGCCGCTCGGCGAGACCGGCCCGGCGGTTTGCCTCCTCCGGGGCCAGCGGCATGGATCCGAATGTGCCCCATTCGATATTGAGGACCATCGAGTCCGCACGAGTCACGGCGGTCGTTGGAAGATCGACCTTGTCGTGGAGTTTACCGACCAACTCCACGCGCTCCATGTAGGCCGCATTGGCGCCGGTCCCGAGGATTACCCCGCTCACCAGGTTCCCCTGATCCGGTCCCACCGAATAGGCGAACGAAATCAACGTGCCAACTGTATCGTTGATGATGGCCGTCACGCGGTAGGGAACATCCTTCGGAAGATCAGGATGGTAGCGTGTGCAGGGGAGGGGAGAGCACCCAGACACATGGAGTGGCGAAGCACGAGTGAGTAGGTGATGGGCACATTCGAGGAGAGGGTGGCATGAGGGGCGAGAGGGAGATAGGGGGGGGGAGGGGGGAGGGGGGGAGAGAAGTGGATGCGGATGGGAGAGAGGCCGGGTGAGGTGAACGGGGAAAAATGCCCACCGGAGGATATTAGCTCGGGTCCGCACGTACCAGAGCCTCCAGCGCCGTATTCAGCAAGGCGCCCACATCCTCGCCGATGACGCCCTGCGTGGAGAAGCCCTTGGTCCAATTGGTCAACCGCGCGGAGGAAAGGCCATCCTGCTGGGTGGGGAAGGAGAAGGTGAAGGCCAGTGGTGCGGGGCCCTGTCCCGGCTCGGGAAGATACTCCGGATGGAGCTTCAAAAACCCAGCGATGCTGGCGGCAATGAAGCCGAACAGCTGGACATGGCTGTCAGTGAAAGGTCGAGCAAAGGGCGCGGAATGTATCGCAGGGGGACCCCGGGCGGAAATGAAGGACCCCACACCACCAATGCCCTGTCACTGCCGAGGAGGACAAGCAAGCGCGTACATCCTGGGCGTTACCATCCTTGGCGTAACCGGGGATGGTGTACCGCTCGGAAACGGTCTCGGCGCGGCCTTCGCCCAAAAGGTGGGTCTGCCGATGGCAGCATGCGCAAGGGCGCAAGGCCGGAGCAGGTTAGCGAGTCGAATGCACAAGGACAGGACAAGAGTCGGGGGCAGACGTACCCCCACCACGCGGAAATTCGTCCCACCCAGGTCCAGCGCCAGGCAGTGGCCCCGCTCGGACCCATCAGGCAAGCGCGTCACATGCGAGGGAAGCATCTTCAAGAAGCCCGGATGGTCCGGGGTCACCCCATCCTCCGGACGAAGGGTCCCCGGGGCGGGCAGGCCGCGCTGAAGATCCGCCAGAAAGCGCAGCCTACCGACAGCGTGTGGCACAAGCGGTGAGTGGGGGCCCTCGGTCAACCGAGGCACGCGGTGGGGGTGGGAGAAGGAGCAGGAGCAAGAGGCAGGGCGAGGGGGAAATAGCTTCCCATGCATGCTGAGAGGGGGCTGGTTTCGCACACAACAGTCGCTAGATCCGAGGCTGAAAGGCCGAACACCGATGCCAGATAGGCATTGGTGGCCAGAAGGAACTCGCTGTCCTCCGCTCGAAGGGCGAGGCCCCGAATGAGGCTGGAGAAGGACTCCGGCAAAGGGGCGACAGACATGGGGCCGGCCGGGGCTACAGGTCGGGAGGCGCCGGTGGTGGAGGGGAAGGGGGGCGGAGTGGCAAAGGGGGGGGGGGGAGAGAGCGAGGGTGACCAGCCCCGGCCCTGTTCTGCCCCGAGCTCGCGAGCTGAAAAGGGCTCAGCGGGCAGGAGCAGGAAGATCGCATACTCCCCTAGCCAGATTGCCCTGATCTAGCTCACGGCCCGTAGGGGTGTGCCCTCCGTCAGGAGAGGGCGACTGGCCCTCACCCTTGTCGACACCCGGGCAGGGGGGGGGGGGGGGAAAAAAAGTTGGAGCCAGCAGCCAACACGTCAGTGCCGCAAAAAATAACAATAAAAATGAACGCTTCCCCGTTGAAACCCGGAGGCATCTTGACCATCCTCTTCAGCCGAGTTTTTTTCATGGGTCATCCGCCCGTGCTGTCTGTCTGACGGGCTGAGAGGCGCCCATCTCCCCCGCCCGTGGGAGTCACCAAGCTCAAAAATACTCCAGCCCGAAGATAATGTATTTCTCGGCAGCGAGATGACGCATGACCCGATATCGGTCACATGGACGTCACACCACTGAAGAATGCCAAAAGCAGGGCGACCCCCCTCGCCCGGCCTGGTATGCCTCGAGTTTCTCTTGGAGGAGGCCTGGGCAGAGGCGGGCTGGGGGCGGGGGGGGGGGGGGGGGGGGGACGGCACACGCGCGCTCGCGACGCCGTGGACTGGCCCCGGGGCCAGGCAATATGCCCGTCTCGAGAGTGTCCTGTCCTCTCGCTTCCCAGCGTGGAGGGTGTCCCTCCCCGGGGGGCCTGGCCGCTTGAGGGCGTTCTGCAGGCTGTGGCAGCGCCAAGAGATCCCTCCCCGAGGTCGACCCCTTTCCCTGGATGGTCAGCCTCCCCTCCTTCCCCTTCTACCACCATCCCTCCTCCTTTTGCCTGCTGCCCGCCCTCCGCCGCTTCTCTTCCAACGCAACAATGCCGCCCCTCTCGCTTGTCGGGACTGTCATCCGCTCGGCCATGCAGAAGACCGTCACCGTGGAGGTTCCCCGCTACTACAACCACCATCTTTACCGCAAGGTGCGCGACATCTTCCTTCCTCCTGTCTGTGGTGACTCGCTCTCCTTGCTTGCCAGCCGTCCGCATGTCTGCGCTGCGCTGCGCCGCGCTGCCTCTTGTCTGCCTCCTTGTGCTCTTGCTTCCCCCATTCCCCCCCCCC